TTGGAGCTCTTGTTGGCGGAGCTCAAGCAAAGTGAAGCCTTTTGGAGGAATGAGGGAAATAGCCTGCATTAATCGCTGCTTAAATAATTTAAGAAGAAATGAAATTTTCCTACAGGAATGTAGGAAAAGGTTCAATGATCTGACAAACTTTCAATGATTGGTGTGTGGCAACAATTTGTCAAATTGAATTTGTGTTGTATTAACTCAAGGAAAAGCAGTTGCTACATTCTATAAGGACTTGTATGCTGCATTATGACAAAGAACAAAGTATTCACATTTACTGTCACTCTAACCTCTAGATCTCTCCAGAAGAACCGCTTGCCAATACCTTTCTTGTGAATATTTACTTTGCACACCAAAACTCCCACAAGAACCATTAATATTCACCCTCAAATTGTTGAAAGATAAAAATTGTTATTTGTAATGCAATGCCCACCATTACCAGACCATGGTTGGAGAGTTTGATGCCAGCAAGTGAGTCTTAACTAGAAGGGATTCTATTGTCTGAAATGAAATATAGTGTATTTGCAGGAATGCAATCAGGTATAAATTACATTGCTAAAGTCAACATTGTTCCTAAATCTCTCTGGATACCTAGGGCATAAATCTTGACTCTAGAATTTCATAGGCATTTCTGTCTGTAATGAGCTCATTATAGGATCATTGCTTTTTAAAATGGTAATCCATCGACACCTTCAGTGGAAAATCTTGTTTTTGATTAAATTGTAGCATCTCAGGCAGATCCAGTTTCTCCCCATTTCTACCAATAGACAAATTAAGTAACACTCTTCTGCTCACTCTCGTTCTAACTACCAGCCTACAATAATCTTCATTGGCTATTACATTCAATCATCCATTTTCACTTTGAAGATTGACCACAAGCAACATTCATTTTGAGAAGAGGTGGGATGTAAATATTGAACTGCAAAATAAATAAGCAGCAGGAGCGTGCTGGCAAGCAACCAAATGACATTGATTCAAATATTATGAAATAGGGCGCGGTCTGCTTAAATCTCCAACCTGCAACAATATTAGCCATTTCAAAGATTGCTTAAAGTGGTTTTAAAGTCTTAAGGATTCTGTTTTGAATATCTGATGTTGTTAATTGAAATCTAATTCCTGTTTTTCTGTTGAATTTGGCACCTGTTCAATTTCTTCTTTCGTTGAACTGCTCGATGCTAGGCTTCTCTTGGTTTTTCCCCTCCCCCTCATCCTCCCTGTTCTCCTCCCACAGTAAACCTTGGGCATCCTCATAGCGTCATGTAGCCGGGAAGGCAGGAACCTCTGACCATTGACTTTTCCGCAAGTGTCAATAACCCCCCAGCCCAAAATAAATCTGTGGATGTAGCGCCTACACATGTAGAGTTAAATGGTTTCTGTTGTCAGGAGTACATTACAGCTACAGAAAAGTTCTGGTATTTGCTGTGATTTCGCTCAATGGTTTCTTTTCAGAAACCCGCTCAGAGTCAGCAAGTATTGATTTTGATTAATTAAGACCGCACAAATTAATGGCCAAAATTTACTGTACCTGCAACATTGAAATGCACAAGTCAAGTTAAGACAAACCATTAACTTTGGGTATTGCTGAACACAGATATACACATGACTGTGTATATTAGTTGTTTATCATTGACATGTGCAGAGTCTGGTATTAACTCAGCAAACTCGTTCATTGAATGAAGGCAGAAATAAGAAAATTAACTTCATTGTAATGCAACAGTCAATTTTGTGCTCAGAATGTCAGGCAATGGAGGACATTCACTTGATTTGCCCATTGGTCACACATAAGAAAATTAATTCAACTCTCTGTCTCTGGGGGTTGCTATAAAGCAACATAAAATTCCCAGGTGCAATGTATGAGATGACACATGGTGCACTAGCCATGAACTCTGTGAGTTCCTGGACCATATTTGGCTATGGCTAGCTAGAACAATACTAGACAGTCCCTGTTTGTAAATGGGTTCCATTCCTGACTCCTTAAGTTGACTCGTACACAAGTTGAAACACAATGCAGGAGAACCTAAAGTAGCAGTTCGTAAGTACAGAAAATGTTTGTACGTCGGATATTTAAAATGACACCCCTGTATGGGTTTGCGTTCATAAGTAAATCGGGGACCGCCCCCCCCCGCCAACATCCTATGTTGTGCAACATCAGCGAACATTTATTCTGCACCTTCATCTTGAATATATTTTGCTACTGAAAGTCATTAAGCATGTACCATGACAACAGGATGACAAGCCCAGTGGGCTTTTGGGGACCATGATGCATAATGCTATTGTCTATCTGCTGAAGAGATGATATTTAAGAGATGAAAGAAACAAAATGATGACAGAGAAGGAAGTCCTGTGCATGTCAAAGTCAATTGTCAAAAAGAAATATAGAGAGGAAAAGAAAGTTACGTTATGAGACAGAAAAATAAGACACAGAAGGTTATATTTAATGAAGAAACTTAACATTTTAAATGTTACACTTTGAAAATCTCCACAACAATTGACTACTTGCAGAAATAAAACTTCATATTACAAACCACTTCCCTGCTGAGACACAGAGATTGATTAACATTCTGGTCACAATTATCACATCGTTTTGAAAAAGAAGTTAATCATGTTTTCAACCTCTCTGCTGTGTTTAATAGATAATTAACGTGCATGTCCAGCAAGTTATTAAACATAACTGGAAGATTGGCGTGACAACAGATCAAGACCTTGGAGTGCCATGGGCTTGAAATTGTGACTTTTTTTTTAAAAAGCATATTATAATCTCCTTCCACTCAACAGAAAGCAATCTCATGCGGAAATGTTATATTTTGGTCTTCCAGGAATATGCAAAAGATGGATGATAAATAAAAGACAGCACTAGTCTTTGTGTGTTAGTGCTGACAATCTAGAGCGTATACTAGTGTGCCATGAAGGTCACCGCTCTGAGAAAAGCCATTTAAGCACTTCTGCCCTACAGGAATCAAGTAAACACCCTCCATTGCCTGACATTCTGAGCACAAAATTGACTGCTGTATTACAATGTAGGTAATTTTCTTATTTCTGCCTTCAGTCAATGAATGAGTTTGCTGAGTTGCTCTGAGCACCGGAAACTAATTAGCTAGCAAACTGGGCAGAAGGAAACTGAAAAACAGAAGAACTATCCCTCTCTACTCAAAACCAAATGACCAATAACTATGATGAAAGATGATGTGAAGCGCGTCTTTCACACAAAGGGTGGTGAGTGCCTGGAACGCGCTGTCAGAAATGGTGGTGGAAGCAGACACAGTAGCAGCATTCAAGAAGCATCTGGACAAATAGATGAATAGGAAGAGAATCGAGGGATACAGATCCTGTAAGTGAAGACAATTTTAGTATGGAAGGGCAAAATGTGTCGAAGCAGGCTTGGAGGGCCAAAAGGCCTGTTCCTGTCTGTATTGTTCTTTGTTCTTTTGTGCATTATGATCAGGACAAAAGACTTTTACTCAACTTACAAAGCCAAAAGTCTTGAAATCAACTATTGAACTACCAAGGTCAACATTACCCTAGGATTTAATGTCACAGCCAAAATATTCAACTGTCTGCACCCCAGGAACAGAGACTGATTCATACACTTCATCTTTAAATTTTATCTTTTAGAACTCATCTCTTCGTTCGACTCTGCACATACATGTATTGCATTACGAAACTGTGTTTTCTTTTATTTTCAAGAAATCCAGATTAAATCTGCTCCCTTTAGCACCTAATTTTTTGGGGGGGTCTGCGAGAAAGGTATTCACAAGGAAACAGATCTTTTCCATAACCAGCTTTGTTGTAAACAACCGGGAGGGGCGGGTATGGAAAATAATGCAGGGGGACCAATTCAATCCACCTCACCTGGCAGATTAACTGTTTGAGGTAGATTCATAGAATCCCTAAAGTGCAGGAACAGGCCATTCAGCCCATTGAGTCTGCACTGACCCTCCAGGGACATCCCACCCAGACCCAGCCCCTCACCTTATCCCTGTAATCCTGTATTTCCCATGGCTAATCTATCTAGCCTGCACATCCCTGGACACCACGGGGCAATTTTAGCATGGCAATCCATCTAACCTGCACATCTTTGAATCCTGAAACTATAACAAATTGGGTACCTCACCTAGGGACTGATTGTAACAAGATTGTAACAATATGGGGCAGCATGGTGGGTCGGTGGTTAGCATTGCAGCCTCACTGTGTCAGGGACCTAGGTTCGATTCCAGCCTTGAGTGACTGTCTCTGTGGGGCTTGCACATTCTTCATGTGTCTGCGTGGGTTTCCTCCAGGTGCTTGGGTTCCCTCCCATAGTTCAATGATGTGCAGGCTAGGTGGATTAGCCATGGGATATGTAGAGTTACAGGGATAGGGTAGGGGTTGGTTCTGGGTGGGAAACTCTTTGGAGGGTTAGTGTGGATTCAATCAGCCAAATGGCTTGCTTCCACACCGCAGGAATTCTATGAGGGGCAAGAAAGTGGAGTCAATTGACCAGTGTGCTCTACAAATTCACAGTGCCTAGTGCATGCCTTCAACACCTGAACTTGAAAAACAATTTGTGAAATAAAAATGATGTGCTTTGTGAATGTACAATGATTATTTTTTGCATCAACCTTCGATTCAACATGAGCTCAATATGCTTTGTGTACTGAATGTGTACAACACATTTAGCCATGTAAACACAGGAGCACTGACATGCATATATTGTGCAAATTATAGCAGATAATTTCCTGTCTTCTTGTCAATTCATAATTTCACATACTGAAAATAATATCTGATCTCACCAAATCTAAACATGATGATGATACTGGGCGGACGTTCTGACCATATTAGAGCCATTTGGCAGCAGCTTTCCCTGCCCAAGACCAAAACTGAGTAAATATGAGTCAATGTTTGAATGTGGTTGAGGCGCGGGATATAAAGACTGAACGCAGCAAGGAAAGGGCAGAGCAAGAGAGAGAAGCAGCTCCTTTACTCTGAGAAAGCAGCCAGCTGATCACACAAGAGGCAGAATGAAAGCCTTCCTCCTCACCATTGCTGCAGTGCAGATTCTCCACTGCTCAGGTAGGTACCAGAGACAGCAGCACCCCATTGAGCAACCAGTTATTGACAATGAGGCTCACTCGCTGAGATATCACCAATGTGTAAAAATAACTCGCTGAAGAACTCCGGAATGTTTTGTACAACTTTCCTTTTGTCTCAACAGGAATACCGAGCCCAAAGGATGCTCTGAGAGTGTCTGTTCTAAAACTGAACCAAATCACTGAGACCAGCAATCTATGTGGGATAACCAGGAGAAGAGTGAAGGATGTAAGTGTGTCCTGGTCTCAGTCTGTTTCAATCTCTAAATTCTAGAAGAATGTTACTGAATACAGTGTGACACGAATTATTAAACAGAAGCAGAATGTTGTATTACACACACTGATGGGAGTCCACCTATCACCACCATTCCGCTACCCCTCCCCCCTCCCTTTATCTCCAGCTCCCCCTACCCCCACATTCATCCCTGAAGAAGGATAATACCCAAAACGTTGACTCCTCCTCTTCCAGATGCTGCCTAGCTTGCTGTATTTTTCCAGCCTCCTGTTTGTCTATCTATGTTACTAATGAACTGTTTCCCTCTCACTAGATTCATCGCACAGGAAAATTGTCGTACAACGTGGATTTAACATTCTCTGTGAAAGAAACCGTCTGCTCCAAGAATTCTGGACTGGAATTTGATGACCCCAGCTGTCACTTCCGTCCCAAAAAGGCTGCAGTAAGTTCTGAGTTACATTGTCACACTCATACCAGCATATGTGTATCACAAAAAGGGCCCTGTATACTGAGTTACATCTCAAAAAACCATGTGCACTGAATTATATATCATAGATAGAGCTGCTCACATTGAGATATATGACAGAAAGTGCACTGTGTACTGTTTTATAGCATGCAAGTACTGACTGTAATTTTAATCAAATCTGTTTTGACAGGAGAAAGGCTTTTGCAAAAGCCACATTGAATATTATGCTGATGAGGTTATAGACGTTGATGTGGAGTGTCGAGGGCTGAAGACAATCAACAGTGAAAGTGGATCATTTGAGTCAAGTGAAAACAGTGTCGAGGTAACCTCAAAATTATATACGTCAAGATACAGGAAGATTTTACATTTCAGGTGGTTTACCAGATTTCTCATTGGCCTTCTGTGCTAAATATAGATATATTAATATTTTATTACAGGTCAAAACCAAATCAAAGGAGAAAGGAATCAAGGAATCATCCAAAGTAAGTAGAAACTGGGAATTCTGTAAGATTACTTTCCTTCTGATCCAAATTACCTACAAAAATGAGTAGAATCCAGAATCCAAGGGTTTCAGAATGAAGTGTGAAATGACAATTTATTTCAGCCTGAAAAAACTGTGGGTGGGGAGTCTGATGTTTGAACTCACATACACTCAAGGTGTCTTGCTTTCTATGAAGGTAAAGCCAGTAGAATATCCATGGGCCTGGGCAGGCACAAATGACGGCATCAGGAGAATGGTCTTTCTTACATTCTCAACAATAGTAGGCTCTAATTACTAGCACTTCCTTTGTAAGGGATATTTTGCAGGGTGGGCACTGCAGATTCAATGGTGTATCTCACACTTGACTAGTTTAACTATCAACACCAAAGCCCAACCGTTCCAGGGCAGGGTCAATTCTTGCTGCACTGGAGAACAGGAGCTGTTTGGTTCATTCCAGTACTGAATCCAAATTCCAAAATTTGCAAGCGCTGTCACTTCCTCATTTGAAATGTGGCATCATTTAGAAATTATGTTTTGAGATGATTCTAAAATTCAAGGTTTAGAAGATAAAAGTAAATATTTAAATCAGAATGTTTTACTCCAGGTAAAAAACAAGTCAACAGAAACATCACTCGAGGACTTTCCAGATGTGAGTATTTATGTCAGTTATTTAACTCACTATCTCTTCATGGAGCACCCTCATTAACTGATTCTTAGTTTGTCCCAGGCTGAAGAGATCAGTCATAATAACTTCCTCAAAAGGAGCAGGATTTGAGCCCACATTATTGGCGCTATTCTGTATCAAACTCTTGACACTGAGCTTAATGGATACATCATCAGATATCCCAGCTACATGGCAATATAGTCTGAAGATTGTAATTGACTGAATATCCAACAGAGGAAGCCCTGAAAATCAATTGCTGTTAGGTTTTTCAGTTTTTCAGTTGTTGTTCGTGGATTGCTGAATGATGTCTAATGGATATTAGCTGTTTCCTAAATTATAGAATTTTCTAGAATCATAGAAAATACTTTTCTGTGATAAGAAATTTGATAGCAGGACACACACAACTGATGGCTTCATGAGGGAAGCATCATTTACCATCTCCTCATGCAATAGAAACATAGAAACATTGAAAATAGGAGCAAAATTAGGACATTCAGCCCATTGAGTACAAACTCCCTCTATCTCTATCTGCCATGTTCTTAGTCTCCCCATTCACCTATTCACCTTAAGCTTCTAGAAATCTATCTATTTCTTTCTTAAATATGTGAGCCTTCTGTGGTTGGGAATTCCACAGGTTCACGAACCTCTGAATGAAGAGATTTCTCCACAGCTCAGCCCAAAATAACCAATCTCATCTCCTGAGACTGTGATCCCCTGTTTTGGACTTCCCCACTCCAGAGAAGCATTATTACTTCTTCCAGTCTCTCCAACCTGTCAGAATTTTATTTGTTCAAATAAATTCTCTGTCATTCTTCTAAACTCCACTGAATATATGTCCAACCGACCTAAACTCTACTCATATGACAAACCTGCCATCACAGGGATCATTGTCATGAACCTTCACTGCACTCCCTCCACGCCAATCATATCTTCTTAGGTAAGGAGACCAAGACTGCACACTATACTCCAGCTGTGGCCTCACCGAGCTATCGTAAGACTTCCTTGCTTCTGTACTTAAACCCTCTTGCAAAGAAAGCCGAGAAGCCATTTGCCTCCTAAATGTTTGCAGCAACTAAATATTTGCTTTCAATGACTGATTTACAAGGACAACCTTGTCCCCTTGTACTTTCTCAACCTACCATAACTTAAATAACAATCTGCCTTATTGTTTTTAAGAGGTTAACTTATTCAACTACATCTGCCATGCATTTTCCACTCACTCAACCTGTCAAATTCACTCTGAAATGTTTTTTCATCCTCCTCACCACTCACACTCCCACTTAGTTTTGTTTCGCCAGCAAACATGGAAATATTACATTTGATTCCTTCATCAAATCATTGATTGATGTTATGAAAAACTCAGGCTTAATCAAAACGATAGTAGGAAAGATCATTCTTGCTGATTTCTGTGACAGTGTCAACACAATACACAGCAACAAATGGAGAATCTCAGTCTCCCTTAGTTTATCCATTAATCCACTGTCCCAGGGCTGGATTGATTATTGCTGCATTTAAGAACAGGACACTCCATGCCAGCACAGGGGAGGCAATAGCCTAGTGGTATTATTGCTGGACTGTTAATCCAGGGATCCAGATAACATTCCAGGGACCTGGGTTCAAATCCTGCCATAGAAGATGGTGGAATTTGAATTTAATAAATATTTACAGTTAAGAATCTAATGATGACTGTGAATCCATTGTCACAGTTGGGGAGAAGCCCATCTGGTTCACTAATGTCCTTCAGGGAAGGAAACTGCCATCCTTACCTGGTCTGGACTACAAGTGACTCCAGATCCACAGCAATGTGGTTGACTCTTAACTGCCCTCTGGGCAATAAATGCTGGCCTAGCCAGCAATGCTCCTCATCTTATGAATGAATAAAGAAAGGGGATAAAAAGCACTGAGTCACTAAATCTCAACTCTGTAGTTCAAAATGTTGTCGCTTTCATTTATAATCTAATAACATTTAATCCTTTTGCTTACAAACTATTCTATAAGTCAAGTTTATTTATTAAGCACTAAATTTTTCAATCTGAATACTTCAATCCAGGTGGAAAGCAAGTCAACAGAAACATCACTGGAGGATTCTCTAAATGTAAGTATAATCTGTGATTTTGTGTCAGATGTTTATTAATGAAAATAAAATGTTGAAACTTGGATTCAACTGCATTGCAATGAAGTGAGGCAGTTCAGAGTTTCTACTAAATTAAACATATATCTTAGAGAATAGAAAGTTCAACAGTTAACACGTCCTCATTTATGGTTTAATAATTAGCAAAATCGGCGGTTTAAAGATAATTCCAAAACTTAATATTTGTTTTCAAATGTCTCATTGATTCCTTGTTGTAAACAGATAAATCTGAATATTTTAATACAGGTCGATAGCAAATCAACAGAAACGTCATTCATTGTGTCTTCAAACGTGAGTATAAACTGGGATTTTGTGTCAAAAGAATTGCTTAGCAATCATGATCATCAATAAAAATAAAACACTGAACTCAATCTGAACTCAGTCCATCTGAAAATGATCATTGTCTTCATTCTGTTCATTTCCAGGAACACTATGATGATTCAAGAGGTCAACACTAACCAGGAATAAAACTTCTGAAAAGCCCAATTTGGTGTCAACATAAGACCTCATTCGGATTAAAGAAAATGAATCATTGTACTCTACTTGATCATATATAACAGTGAGGGGACTTGGCTTTCCTGACTGTACATTTTATTGTAACTGGGAAATTCTATAGCTTGTAAATGTTCTATTCTTTGTTGTATATTGTTGTCTTGTACTTTTCTTGTACTTTTACATTAAAAGTGTAAAGAGAATAAAACCTGATATCACTCTGAACGTTGTTTCTCATTTCACTGATTGGATGGGAACTCAGAAAGACACAGCACTCAAATCAACTTGTCACATACTGTGAACAGTTCCCTCAAGTGATCGATGGTCAAGGTTCCTCAACTGACTGGAGGATTGGAACTTCACTGTTGAAACTGGATGAATCAGGATGGGAATGTGGAATTGCATGAAGTCTGCTTACTTCACTCTGTGGACTTCCAAATCATAAGCTTGTCTGATCCTTAAATCTGTGGCAGCTGAGCCTTGTCCATGAAAAAAATATGAACAGTCAATATAGTTGAATTTTACCTTGCTGGAATCTTATCATAACTTTAAAAAGAAATGTTACTGGATAATTTGTCCCAGTACCTTGGTTAAAAGTAGCAAAAATTGGGATAGACAAAGGAAATTGATATTAAAAATATCCAGAACTGTTTGCCTCCAGTATTTGCTCTGAAGTCAAGTCACGGAGTTCGCAGCAAAGGAATAAGTAGAAAATCCCCAAATTCCCCACAACTTGCTCCAACAGGGTCAGTGTCAACAGTATTAAAGACTTGAATATTGAATATTGATAAAGATACATTCTGTTGAAGATGTTTATCTTGCTCTCATCAGAAAAATTTGCAAGAAATTATAATGTAAAGGGAAATCTTAATAATGTACGGATTAAGAATACTGATTGTTTTGCAAGTGGACTCTGACTGGTAGAGGTGTTGCCATATATAATACATCAGTTAATGATGACTGACAGTTAACTCCAAATGATTTGTGTTTTGACCAAAGTTGAAGACTGAATATCCAAGGGTATTCAACCTTTAGGGAGGGCAGACTAAACAAATAAAAATTGGGGTGGGATTGTTGCTAAAAAATAGAATTAGTGCAATGCGGGAAAGGTACTGTGTAGAAAACATAGATATAGAATCTTTCTAGGTGGCACTAAGAATCTACAAGGAGTAGAAAATTATTGATGGAAGTTGTCCGCAGGCCTGCAAACAAAGTGTTAAGATAAGGGATGGTATTAAATAGACAATTAGGGATGCCTGCAAAAAAGGGTGCTACAGTAATCATGGATGACTTTAATCTACATATTGACTGGTCAAAGCATTTTTGTAATACTACTGTGATAGATGAATTTCTGAAATATGTGCAGGGTGATTTTTCAGACCAGTTTGTTGAGGAACCAACTCGGCAGCAGGCTATCCTATACTTTGTTTTGTGCAATGAGAAAGGATTAATTAATATTCCTACTGTGAGACGCCCTTCAGAAAAATGTCAGTATAACATGATAGAATTCTTCATTGGGATAGAATGTGAAGTATTTCAATCTGAAAGTAAGGTCCTAAATATAAACAAAAGGAAACTACAAATTATGAGGCATGAGTTGGCTGCAATTGCTGGGCAATGTTATTAAAAGATATGACAGTGGATGGGCAATCGTTGGTATTTAAGGTACAAATGTTGCATTGAAACAGTTATTCATTCCTTTTGACTGAAAACACAAGTGGCCCAAGTATGGCTAAAAAATAAATTACGGGCAACATTATTTCCAAAGGCGAGTTATTTAAAGTTGCTGGAAAAAAGTAGCAAGCCTGAAGTCTGGGAGCAATTTAGGATTCAGCAAAGACGTACAAAGAGGTTAATTAAGAAATGAAAAATAGCATATGAAAGTAAATCAGCAAGGAACATAAAAGCAAAGTGTAAGAATCTCTCAACGTATGGAAAAAGAAAAAAAAAAAAATGAATTATCTCATTTGAAGTGGGAAAATTGAAATGGAGAAGAAGGAAAAGACGATTTGTTTAACTTGAAAGGGTTCAGGAAAGATTTACAAGGACGTTGCCGGGGTTAGAGGGCTTGAGCTGTAGGGAGAGGCTGAATAGGCTGGGGCTATTTTCCCTGGAGCAGAGGCTGAGGGGTGACCTTATAGGGGTTTCTAAAATCATGAGGGGTATGGATAGGGTGAATAGCCAAGGTCTTTTTCCCAGGGTAGGGAAGTCCAAAACAGGAGGGCATAGGTTTAAAGTGAGAGGTAAAAGATTTATAAGAGACCTAAGGGGTAATGTCTTCATGCAGAGCATGGTGCAAGTATGGAATGAACTGCCAGAGGAAGTGGTGGAGGCTGATACAATTACAATATTTAAAAGGTGTCTGGATGGTTACATGATTTGGAAGGGTTTAGAGGCATATGGGGCAAATACTTACAAATGGACTAGATTTATTTAGGATATCTGGTTGACATGGATGCGTTGGACTTTTCTGTGCTGTACAGCTCTATGACAAGGGAAATAAACAGCTACTTTAGTTCTATCTCCACAGAAGAAGGCAGATATAGCTTTCCAAATGTGCTAGATATAGAAGAAAGGGTCTATTGGTAAACAGGAATTGATGGAGATTATTATCAATGTAAAAATAGTGCTGGAGGAATTAATGGGGCTAGAAGCAAAAAGATCTCCAGGGACTGGTAATCTGCATTCCCAGGTGTCTGTAAGAGGTAGCAATGGAAATCATGCATGCTGTTGTTGTTATTTTCTAAATTCCGGAGATTCTAGAACAATCCAGGCAGATCGGAGAGTGGTAAATGTGACCTCTCTGTTTAAAAAGGAGACAGAAAGCAGAAAATTACAGACTAGTTAGTCTGAAGTGCTGGAGTCTATTATAATGGATATGATAGCAGGACACTGAGAAAATAGCAATAGGATTATCCAAAATCAACATGGATTCATGAAAAGGAAATCATGTTTGACACTCTACTAAAGATTGTTGAGGATGTAACTAATTGAATAAATGAAGCAGGGCATTTGGATTTTTACAAAGCTTTAGATAAGATTCCACATATGAGATAGTGCACAAAATCAAAGAATTTAGGATTTTTGGGAATATACTGGCATGCATTGAGAATTGGTTATCGAACAGGAAACAGACAGTAGGAATAAATTGTTTTTCAGAGTGTAAGGTGTTGACTAGTATTCTGTGCTTGGGCCCCAGCTATTCACAATACATATCAACGATTTGGATGAGAGAATCAAATGTTATGTTTCCAAGTTTACTGACAACAGAATACCAGGTGGGATTGTGTGTGTTAAGGAGGATATAAAGAGCCCTCAAGGTGACTTAGGGAGGTTGAGTGACTGGGAAATTGCATGGCAGTTGCAGAAAAACATGGATATTCATTTTGGTAGAAAAAACAGTATAGCAGTATATTATTTAAAAGGTGATAGATTGAGAAACGCTGATGTACAAGCAACCAGGGTGTCCTTGTACACCAGTCACTGAAAGTAAGCATGCACGTTGCAGGAAGCAAGTTGGCAAGCAAATGGTATGTTGGCCTTCATTAAATACAGGAGCAAGGAGGCCTTATTGCAGCTGTACAGAGATTTGGTAGGATCGCATGAAAGTATTGTATACAGTTTTGGTTTCCTTCCTTAAGATACATCTAAAAATATACTTGCTAAAGAGGGAATTCAGTGAAGGTTCAATAAAATGATTACTGAGACTGAAAGTAAATTGTCTGAGGAGACATTGGGTTGACGAGACTGCTGTTCACTGGTATTTAGAAGAATGAGGGGGAGCTCATGGAAACATTTACCATATTGGCAGTACCAGACTAATTGGGTGCAAGGATGATATTTCCACTGGTCAAGGGGTCTAGAAGAAGGGATCACAGTCTCAGGATATGGAGCAGGCTTTGTCAGGCTAAACTGAAGATAAATTTCTTCCCTTAGAGGTGATGAACTACTACTCTAGAATGTTTTGGGAGACAAATCTCTGAATATGTTTCTCACAAAGTAATCTATAGACTTCTAGAGGCTAATTATGTCATGTGATATGGGGATCATGTTGAATGTAGACTCAATGGACTGAATGGCCTACTGTTACTTATATTTTCTAAAATTTTGAGCTTGTTTAAATTATAAGCCAGGCAGGTTACGTCTGATTGGTCAAGACTTTGGCATTGAGAAATGAACCAGAGGTTGGCTATCTCCTGTTTTGTTGAGTTGAAATAGACATAATGGGCATACATGTTCTCTCTGTCTTCAAAAAACACAATCCTCTGCACTAATATGAGAACTTTATAGGATGCAAAGTGTACTGCAATGCAAACCCAACTGATGCTCCTAAAGTAGTGTCAATGTAGAACATGAGACATTCAGGATTGTTTAGTAAATGTTATCCAATCACAAAATTATATCTAATAAATTGCAAGTGATGCTGAACATTGTATAATCATCCCTATTTCTGACCTTACGATACAGGGAAGTCATTTATGAAACAGCTGAAGACTGTTGGGTTTAGATCACTGCCCTGAGGAACTCCTGCAGCGAAGTCCTGGAGTTGAGAAGACTGACCTCCAACAACCACAAACATCTTCCTTTGTGCTAGATATGATTCCAAACAATGGAGGGTTTTCTCCCTGATTACCTTTGTCTCTACTCTTTTCTAGGGAATCTTGGTGTCATACTTGGGCAAATACTGCCTTGATGCCTTGATACCAGACAGTCACTCTCACCTCACCTCTGGAACTCTAATCTCACTGCTGGAATTCCGCTCCCTTGTTCAAGGAGCAAGGATGTAATGAGTTCAGGAGCTGTGAACACTGGCAATATACAAACCGGGAGTTAGTGAGAAATTTATTTTTATGCCAGTGTTGCTGGACAGCACTGCTGAAGACACTTCCCATTGCTTTATTGATGACTGAGTGTAGAGAGATGGGTTGGCAATTGGCCGGGTTGGATTTCTCATCCTTTTTGTGTGCAGAACATATCTGGGCAATTTTTCACATTGCTGGTTGAATGTCAGTGTTGTAATTATA